AAAGCAATATGAAATTAAAAAGGTCGTAATATTCTATATACAGGTATAATTAAATTATAAAAAAAAGGAAACAAATAAATTAGACATTTTAAGAATCTATTACATGAGAAGGAAGAAGTGGTAAAAGGCAGAGGTTACCGTTTTCGTAAGAGAGATTTATTAGTAAATTAGTATGAATACGTATAAATACCTTAAAAATAGTAAATTTAATGGTAAGTGTCCCGTAAAATTGCCTTATAAAATTTAGGAAAAACTAATTAGGACATATTATGTATGTAATATGGAATATTTTAGAATATGAACTCTAGCTGTAAAAACTAAAAAAAAATAACTAATTTTAGATATAGTTAAAAGCAATTCAAATATGTTGCAAGATATAATTAATAACATGTAATATAACATAGTGATATATACAATTATATACTTTCTCTGTTTTCTCTATAAAATATTACTTTCTTTATTTGAGTTATTTTTAACTTTTTTGAATTATTTCCAGTTTTAATTTGTTTGAATTACTTACTTTATTTTCTCTAAAATAAAGAGAGTCTAGCAAGAGAGTGTGTCTTCGCCTTCCTATGCTTTCCCTTATATATATTGCCGCACCAGGGACGGAGCTAGAGTCCTCAGAGCACTATCTTTCGCAAGAACTCTTGTAGAAAGAAAGTGGAGACAGAAATAGAGAGGAGAGAGAACATAGACAGATATTATCATAGTGGATCCTCTGTTCTTCGGCTTCCGCTGGATTGGATATTAAGTTGGTAAACTTTCAAAAGCTGAATTTTTTTAGCGATGTTTTGTGTATGTTCTTCGGCTTCTGTTGGGTTGGATGGTTGGTAAACTTTCAAAAGATCTTCAATGGTTACCTTTTTTAAATTTAATTTTTTAAGGGATATTTTGAATAAAAATTTTTTAAATTTTAAAAAATTATAAAATTTCGAATATTTTTGATTATTTATAAAAAACTTAGAGATTAAATCAAAATTATCTAAATTAAGGCCTCAAAAGAAAAAAAAATTTGAAAGCAATGTTTGAGGGAACAAAAAAAAAAAAAGAAATAAAGAACAGGGTTTGAGTGAAATGTAGATTGGAGAAATAGAGACAAAAAATATAATTATTGCTAGAATGAAATGGTGTAAACAGCATTAGGATGCTTATTGCATCATTAGTCAAAATTTTTTTTCCTCGTTATGCAACAACTCAATTTGTTCCTTGAAAAGCATATGAGAAATATTTTCCACCTCAATTTGTATATTTCACTCCTTTCAAGGTTTCTTAATTAGTTGAGTGGTTATTTTCAAGTTTGTGAGTGTTTGAGTTTAGAGTGCAGTTAATTTAATACAACAAATTCATGTCACTCTCGAGGAGAATCTCATCTTCCTTATAACGCAGTTCCTTATCGAGAAGGGCTACAAATGCGAAAGCCGAAGTAGAGAATTTCCTACCGTAGTAATAAGGACATTGAACCAAGGCTCATCTCCGACAAGCATATACAATTTTTCATTTGTATTCTTACTATCGTGAATATCGCATTCAAAATCATGGTATGCATATATTTTGTCAAATATTTGGTTGTTTCACTTTTCTTTTATGTTTTTAGATTTTATTCATGCTTTCACTCTCTAGATTAATTGTCACATAGGCAGCATAAATGGTCTTGCATTTGTTAGTCCCATGGATCAATTTTAGATCATTACTTTGTGGGATGATAAAAACGGTAAAGGTCAGTTTTAATTTACACAGTAGTTGCACTTACGTGATAAAACTTTTTTGTCTTTCTTCCTTCTTATCATTCAGTCAATGGCCTCATTATTTATAATTTCTTGAGGGTGCAAGTTAAAAGCCAAAACAGAATTACAGGCACAAATACAATCCAAACTCAACCAGAATTAACTTATTAGACGTGGTGTAACATATTTTATATAATATATATATATATATATTTGAAATTTAGCAGATTTTTCCCTCTTCTTTAATAGGAAAAGTCTCTTATTTATAGTGGAGAGGTTTTCTATGTGAGATAAACTTTCAAAAAATGAAAATTATTTCAAGATAATCTTCTTATTCAAAAATAAAATAAATTGATCTAAATTTAATACTAAATAAATTTAAATTTAATCTAAATCAAATACTAAATAAATCTAAATTTAATTCAAATCAAATAAAAAACACAAATTTAATAAAATTCCCTAAAATATCCTCCCCTAGCATGGTAGCCTTTTTTTTAGGGAACTAGCTCCCAGGGGTTTTTAAGGCCTGGCCTAGTTTTCCAATGGAATCCCATTATTATTATTTGTCATGCAGTTTGTAGAAAACTTCGCCGGCCGGCAATGAATTTGTAGAACTGATAGCTATTCTATGGTTGTCTTATATTTGGACTTAATTTGTGCCATCCATAGCTAGGATCAATACGTTAATAGCAAATTATGATTCACATATTATCAGAGTATTTATCTTAATAGAAGACCAATTTAACAATCTCCAAAATTTTAAAAAATTATTGAATCAAAATAATAAATATCGAAAAAGCCATAGATATAAAATGGATCATAATTTTTTTTCTTCTTCCTTTATCAATGGAAAAAACTTGAAAAATTAACTAAAACTTTTTAACAATAATGGGCGGCGCCAGGTAATGGGGGACTGTGACACCCAATTTTTTTTGAAGCGGTTCTCCTTTGAATCTCTACTGAGCTAGATTTCCTAAATTTTGTCTCTCAAAATTTCTATTTTTTATGAATTTTAGTAGATTTTTCTGCCCTTCTTTAATGGGAAAGGTCTCCTATTCATAAATGATGAGAAGTCCTTGAAGTAGTGAGATTTCTCAAATGAGATAAATCTCCAAAAAAAATGATGAGTTTTTCAAATTAATATTTTTTTCTTTTAAAAAATTTAAAATAAATCTAATCTAAATTAAATAAGAAAATCAAATATTTAATAAAACTTTTAAAAGATCCTCTTAAATTATAACTCTCTCTTCTTTTTTTTTTTTTGAGAGAATTAGCTCGTGCTAGTTCTTCAAGCTGAAGGTGTTATGTGTTATTCTACTTATAGAAAATTTTGTTGGCTAGTGATAAGTTTGCAGAATTGATTGCTGATATTGATTGTATTGTAATTGAAGTTAATTTGTACTATTCGGATTGATATTCTGATACTAAAATATGATTTGTATATAATTAAAGAATTTTCTCAAGAAAAGACCAATTCCAAAATCTAAAGGACTTTATTAAATCAAAATAACAAATTTCAGATGAAGCCATAGATCTATAATGGATCTAAGAATTTCTTTTTCTTCCTTTGCCGATGGAGGAGGCTGAAAAATCAAACAAAAAATTTTCAATAATAATGGGTGGCATTAGGGAGCAATTAGGGCGTCTTTTAAAGAAAAGTTCCTCAATCTCAAGTTAGCAAGTTTTTTTCGATTTTTTGACATTGAAGAAATTCTTATTCTTCGTCTCTTTACTGACTTGAATTTCCTGAAATTTCTTTCATAAAGTTTTTATTCTTTATAAATTTAGTAGATTTTCCTCTCCTTTGTTTAATGGAAAAAGTCTCCTATTTATTGATGATAAATCCCTAAAATGGTATAATTTCCTAAGTGATATAAACTTCCAGAAGACAAGAATTTTTTTTTTAAAATAAATTTTTTCCTAAACAAAATGAAAATAAATTTACTCTAAATCAAATCCTCAATAAATTTAAATCTAATCTAAGGAATGGCAGTGCACAATTCAGCTTCACCCATATCCTTTTTCTACACAACAACAATGGTGGGTACCTGCTACTACTACAGTACTGATGAAATTATTTCTCAAATTTGAGCACTCTATATTCTGAATTTGATCAAGGCTTGAACATGAAAATTATATAGCTATTTCTTAGCTTTTCAGAACATCTTGAATCATCTAAATCCGAATTTTGTAGTTCAAGATATGAATTTTCTTCTCCAAACTGCATTTTCTAAAATCTGCTGCTACTCTTGCAAACTGTCAACTTTTGTTCCTTCAATTACGAGAGTTTTATGTGCAGAACTGGATTGAGATCAAAGTATGAAAGTCTTAGCTTTCTCTCTTAACTTTCCAATGCCTTAAGAATTATCTCAATCCGAATTTTGTAGTCAGAGTTATGACATTTTTTTCAAAACAGTAGCAAGCAGTAAAACTGCTGTTGTTGTTGCTGCTGCTACTACTGCACTTTGGCTTATTTTCAAGTTCCTTCTAAGCTGAACTAGACTGAGGTCAAAATATGAGAATTGTAGATCATTTTCTTGCCTTTTCAAAACTTTTTCAATTGCCACAATCCGAGTTTCCTAACTCTGGTTATGAAAATTTTTCTCTGGGCTACTGTTGTTGCAAAATTTGCTGTCAAGGTTCTCTACTTGCACCTCTAAAATTGCTTTTCTTTGAGATTAAGCCCCAATTAAGCTTAACTTGATCCAAAACCCTTTCTGGTAAATTTGTTAAGCTACAATGAATCTTGTAAAAGCGTCAAGCTTGGTCTCCAAACCTCATTTCTTAATTTGACTCTCCAATGAGCTAGTTTTCATTTAAAAAGTTGAAAAATCATCTCATGCAACTTTGTTTAGTTGGATTGGAATAAATTAAAGTCTTAAAAAGGTTTTTATATTCCACATTGCATTTTGACCTATTGAAACTCAAATTGACCAAAGTAAGAAAATTTAAGATTCAACACAAAAACTATCAATAAAACTCAATTTTACTAAGAATTATAAATTTCACTCAAATTAAGGAATAATAAAGAAATCAAAAGAATTTAGGCATTTTGTATCCCATTTTAACTTAAAATAGTGAAAAATACTTGATATATCTAATAAAATTGAGTACAAAAGTATAATATAAAATTAAATTTATCAGTATGCCCCTTCATTGCATGTTTTGAATTTACATTAGTCAAAACATTTTCTGAAATACTTTCTTACTACAAATTTAGTTTCTAACTAATTTGCATGGAACGAGAAATTCAAGTATTCAGTCACCTCTTTCATGGCAGTGAAATTTGAAATAAAATAATATTAAGATAACAATTCGAGAGATTTACAAATAAAAGAGTTACTTTATAATTTTGAAAAATTAATTGATTGTTACATCATCACGTAACCCTATAATGACATAGTTTTTTTTCTTAATTAATGCTAATAATTGTTTTGCTTTCTAAACATAGGATACGCATTTTGTCCTCTTCGTAATCTGCATTGCTTCGTTTAGTCTAAACCCCAGTTGGGCAAACACATATGACGTAACAAAATACGGCGCTATCGGTAACGGCAGTGCCGATGACTCACAGGTGACATCTCTATTTACTCCCTTTTACCTACGATTTGTTTTCATTGTTTTTGTGTTTTATTTTTAAATTTTTTTTGGTTTTCGAAATGTATTAACCAAATGCATGGCAAACTATTTATAGGCATTTCTACAAGCATGGAAAGCAGCATGTGGAGATAAGAGTGGAGGCACCCCAACCTTCACGGTGCCGAATGGAAAGACATTCTTCTTGAACTCTCTGGCCTTCCAGGGCCCCTGTCAATCTCAAACTATCCAAGTACAGGTATATATATAGTCAATTATATATATATATATATATGTAGAATTCCTTTTTGTCAAAAACATTATGCCTTGGCTAGTAAAATTATTATATAACTGGTTGTTGCTTACTCATACAGTACACTTACTTCTATAAGAATGGATCCGTCTCTCAGAAAACACCCAACTTCTATTTTATTAATAGAACAAGAAAAGAGTTAAACAAATTCTAAGAAAAGCCCTTTTAGTTCACTTTTTTTTCTTCAAAATATCAAGAAATTCAAACTTAATGCGATTTAATTTACTAAATATTGTATAGAAAATTAAATAATTTGCAACTTGTTGCACATCAAACACCAATTTGCGAATTATAGTTATCTCCAAATTTTGTGTGATAAGTTTTATAACAATTTTTAAAATTTTTGCAGATTTTGGGGTCTCTTGTGGCACCCAGCCAAAAGAGTCAATGGTCAAACTGCCAAGGCAACAGTTGGATACTTTTCCAAGGAATAAATAGTCTCAATGTAAATGGGAATGGATTGATAGATGCCAAAGGGGAATCCTGGTGGCAGGGAGTCACCCCCACGGAGGAGGACGACACCAATCCTGTAAGTCATCTGCTTGGTTCTCCTTCTCTGTTTTTTTTTTTTTTTTTTTTTTTTATTATAATTTTTGGATTTTTCATCCTAGATGTGAAATATTTTACTTTAAATTATTAACATTTTCATTTTTTTTCTTTCAGCCACATGGCGTCTGCGATCGACCGACGGTAAGATTGCATCACCTGTTTTGATTGAAACACTAGCAGTAGATTTACCGTTTGTTATGACATTGGGTTCCCATCTGTGTTACCATGGGTTGGACACTAGATAAAATGTTAGATCAAGCAGGCCTTTGAGCTTCTAGTCAATGTAAGATTATTAATGGGTTAAATTTTAATTAAAATATTATTTTAAAAATTAATTTAAATTTTAAATTTTAATATAAAAAATATTTAATTCTAAATATTTATAACTCTAGATAAGTGCATCAATATAAAATATATAAATTTAAATTTTAATAATATTTTTTATTAAATTAATAATATTATAAATTTAAATGTGTATGGACTAAATTAGGTAAATTAAAAAATTTAGGACTTAATGTGATGGATATAATAGAGTTGAAAGATTTTAATATAAAAGTACTATTTTTTTTATTAGATTAGATTTGTTTGTTAAATTTCACATTATTTATTGAACTCAGATATGAAAAAATAAATAAAAATTTTATAAACTTTTGGATTGGATATAGTTATAAAAATAAGTAATCAAATTCGATTTTGGATTTAAATTTAGCTAATATGATCCAAATGGATTTATTGAGAACTTTGTGAAAATTGTTTATGTAAAAACTAATATTTGTAGCTAACATTTTTCTGATAGACAAGAATTCTGAAAATAATAAAAAAGCATTTACTAAAATTGTGACTGTTTAATGAAAATATTTTGCGATGTTGTTTTTTTATCAGTTTTAGAATAATCTACCCTCGAAAAGTAAAAACAACTTTCAGTAACATCACCAATAAAGAAATGCCTCCCATCTTTGTGGTTCCAATTTTCAAAATATTGTGAATTTAATTTTTATTTTTAATTTTATGCAGGCATGAAATTTGTAAATTGTAATGGGCTTCAACTTTGCGGATTGAATATTCAAATTAGTCCAAGGAACCATATCAGTATACACAACTGTAACGGTGCACAAGTCTCCGCCCTCACCATAAATTCACCTGCAAACAGCCCTAACACTGACGGAATTGACATGTATGGGTCAACCCATGTTTCTATTGCAAGTTCCAACTTTCAATGTGGTAATTATTTCAATTCCCATTAATACCCTTCACAAAATTTCTTCTTTTTCTTTTTCTAATTAATGTATATAATAAAAAAATTAGTATGTACGTTGGTGATGATTGCATTGCTATCAACACCGGGTGCTCAGACGTCAACATTACAGGTGTTTCATGCGGGCCTGGCCATGGTATAAGGTAGAGAACGAAGTAATCTTGGTGGATAAAATTAAAAACTAAGTGTTGATTTTTTAAAATAAAAATTTAAATTATGTCCAATAGTTCTAACGATGGAAATATAGTGATTTATTGTTAATAATATTTGAAATTTAAGCTGTTTTTAGCTATTTCGTGTATTAAAAAAGTAAGTACTAAGCCCAATTTTAAGTATTATATTATACCAATAAATAAGTAATTAAGTTATTAGTTTTTCTTTCTCCATGCACTGTGTGGAAAAGTCTAGGAAGAGATGGAGGCTTCGCTCAAGTGGAATTTATACGTGTACAACAGTGTAACTTCACAAACTCATCGAATGGTGCAAGGATAAAGGACATGGCCGGTATAATACTAACTATCAAAGCTCGACGAAAATCACAACCAGCAGAAGAAGAGCAAATTAAATGGTTGTTAACGTTTGTACTCTGGCTTTTCAGGGAGGGACTGGGTATGCGAAGAACATCTTCTTCGACCATATCTCTGTCAACGCGGCCATTCATCCCATTGTCATTGACCAACATTACTGCAACGTCCGATCGTCCTGTCCAGAGCAGGTAATAAGTGTTTGATAATGTGTTGCGACGTTTGATTTGCTCATTATTTAATATGTGGTTAATATTACAGAAGAAAGCGGTGCAAGTGAGTAGCGTGTACTTCACAAATGTACATGGAACATCAGGTGGAAAAGAAGCAATTTAAGTTGGATTGCAGCGAAAACGTGCCCTGTCAGGACATTCATGTACAAAATGTTAGCTTAACCTCGTCAACTCCAGGAAGAAGTGTTTATGCTACATGCCATAATGCCAAGGGACAATTCAGTTCTGTACCTCAGGTCACTTGCAATGACACCACCCACGTCATGTGCTTCCCCTGCCGCAAGTTGCATTTCAAGCATGACTCTATTAAATTATGATACTTCCCTGAAGTCAATATTTCATGTTATTCAGAGCAAATAAAATGAATAATTTTCGGAATATTATGGCGTATGAATATAATATAACTATCCTTACTCTTGCAAGCTCGTGTATTTAGAGTGATATTTTAACTCTTTATCTTGCTCTTTAAAAGAAGAAAAAAGCAAAAGGAAAAATGGATGGTTACGAGAAGGAGAAGCTCGATTGAATTGGCAATCATATCGGTGGCTGCTGAGTTTTTCTTGGAATCGCCATTCAAGTGGTTGCTTTTTTATTAACAATTAACAAGACTTCAATCCACATTTCCAAACACGCTCATACACGCTTTAAATAAGACATGTAACAACAAAAGCAAGTCTTGGTTGTGATCTTAATTGCAATGACATGCAATGAAATTAAATTGCATGGTTTTTGGGACTCAGTAATTTAATGCCTATAAAAATTCCCTATATATACACTTCCACGTTACTTGAGTGCATGCAATGAGGTATTTTAGTCTGTCTGTCTTTTTAGATTTAACAACATTTAGCATGTGAATAATTTTATTTTAGAAGTGCTTCTTTAAAAGTGATTTTTTTTTTTAAAGTGATCTTCTAGACATAGAAGTTATTTTAGTATTTTGACTTGTTTGGATAAAAAAAATATATGTGCTTTTTTTCATTTTCTCTTTCCCCCCCTCTGGTTTTTCCTCCTATTGTCTCTCCACTGGCCAAATGTAGAGTAGTCCCAATTGTCACACCACCAACTATCTTGCCAAGCCGTCATTGCTCATCTAGCCTCGCCGATTGCCAAAGAGGCTACCTAGAGGAGACAATCAGGGCTTTGATTTGGTTGTCAATCAGATTTCAATTGGTAATTGTAGGCTAGCAGAGACAATTCAGGGCTTCAATTCAGTGGCAAAACATTGTGAAGAAGAAGTTTAGGAAGCATAGTCATGACGATGTGAGAAGCACAAATGCAAGGATCGTGAGAAGCACAACACCCATTGACGTCCAAGAGGTTCAATTAAGAGAAAAGGGAAGAGGGAAGAGGGTAGTTGTTGACAATTGCAAGAAGCACTGACACGCCAATGACCAGTCTAAGATTCAATTGGGAGGCGGGGGAAGAGGAAAGACGTTGTCAATGATAGTGCAAAGCATGGACATGCCATTAATGATGGTGAAGTTGGATCAAGAGGAGGGGAAGTGGCCGTCAATAGTCGTAAAAAGCATAGACATGTCATCGACAATGGTGATGTTAGATCGAGAGGAGAGGGAATATGGAAGAAGCAGAGTCTGCTAGAGGATCTAGTCGACTAGAGGTCAATTTATGCTAGAGGAAGAGTCAGCCATTGGAATAGTCAAACTTTCTCTCTCTTCTATTTGAGCCTTTTGTTGGATTCATATCAAAATAGAAAATCTAAAGGTATTAGAAATTAAAAATTTTTAATCTCAAAATTCGTGATCAAATCACAACAAAATTCTAATTCTATGTCCAAGATACAATATGCATGAATTTAATTTGAGAAAATTGATTTATACCTTTCAACCTTTTGTTATCCACACGGGGAACATCCACTAGAAGTTAGAATTATGCTCGTAATACAAAACATTTTTCTCAACTTATGAGCTTTTTTATCGAGAAGCTTCTTGATGTAAGGATTGTAAAGAATCTCACTCTCCACTTTTTTAAAATTCTCTTACTTGATAAAGATCTTCATGACCCCTATTTGTAAAGAAATATGTGCATTTATCTTATCCTTAATTTAGGAGATTGTCACACCCTACCCCTACCTATTACGTGGGCACGACAATCGAGTATAGGCCAACACTTTCCTAGGCCAAAAACCCAGTAGCATATCAGCCCCTGTAACCTTGTCATATTATTTGTTCATTGGACATAAGTCTGTGTACCTGTGGTTTGCACAAGATATAATTCTACAGAAAGCTAGGGCTTCTATTCTACATAACTTTGCAAAACTAAATAACCTGTAGTGGGTGTATCTATGCACATTTTAATATACACAACATAACTAGTTAATTAATTTATACACTAGTTTGTCTAATAAAATAATGTACAACTATCATGTCTCCAAAATTAAATACACAACCTCTTCACTCAAACCAAAAATTTAAAAGAATATAATGGTTATGAAAATCGTAGGGCTTGGCCACACCTCTACTATCATGTTATGATACAATAAAGTAGAAAGAGTCTCCCTAAAACTATCTGCCAAAATCTACAAGGTGGGAGAAAAAATAATGAGAGAGAGTCCTAGTGAATGGCAAGCTAGCTAAACTTAGTGGAACAGATAAGGTTATCTACTAGTAGCATAACTAAGCATAGTTTGTGAAATATATCAGCAGCAAAAATATTACAATCATAAAGTAGAAAAAGTACTCATGTCTTTGTAATATTTTCAGCTTGGAGAAACCATGCAAAATAGGAAGCATAATCTTTGACTTATATCATAACACAATTCCTTGAAATATAATCATTAGCTGACTGATATGCATGAATACTCTGACTTGATATGCACACAACAAGATAATGGTTGGGATAGTATGTATGAGAATATAAAATCTAGGACACAGTCTAGCCCTCATCAGGGCAGATCATATCAAACATGTTGGACACTACACGCCTTGTAGTTGACACCATGGGTCGCCACTTCAAGGCCAATAACATGGCTTTGGAGTTTGGGTCCCACTAGGGTGTAAACCGTATAATATCCAGATAAGTAGAATTGCCACCTATCCTAACGATTGATCGATATCTTGTAATAAAATCATAACAAATATCATAAAAACATCATAAAGAACATATACATGAATTCAGAAAATGGCTAGCTATTTCTTAGCATTGCATATACAAGATACACATGTTGAAAGCATTTTATCTCAGTTTTTAGGAAACATGTTTTATAGAACTATTGAATTTAGAGAGCCACTTACCACCATATATAGGTACTACTATGGCTCTCTCGGGTCTGGCTAAGTTAAGTCGTGTCCCTACCTTCTGTTTGCTCCCATATGAAATGAACATGCCATGTTAATATCATGATATGGATGGGATGATGCAAATGCCTATGTATGCCAAATTTTCTAAATAATTTAATTGTTGGTTTTCTTTTCTCTAATGTTGAAAACATGCCTCTTTCTACCTTTCTCCTTAAAATCTCTTAACCCCCTTTCATGTTGCCATAATTAGGTTCATATCTCAACTCTAATAGAGGTTTTCTTCAAGGCCTAGAAAAAAAATTCACTTCTTCTCACCTATTAGATTGCATAAATTTTTTTTACAACCATAGTAGCACTTACTTCCCTGGATTTGGTTCAATTTAGGTCTTGATTTCTCCCTTAATTTTGTGTCTAGATTTATGCTCTTTTTAACCTTCAATCCAGCATCATTTTGGTGCCTCTTTAAGAGGCTGTAGATGCTGCAAAATAGGTTCCCTAAAGCAGAATTTGTGCTACAAAATACTATACTTAACTTACTCTCCTTCTTCTTACGTCTTTACTTAATTTAGAGTTAGATTTTGTATCTTTTTTCAAATTTTCTTCTTGATTTGCTTAACCTAACTTTGATGCTACTAATTAACTCTGATTTGGAGCTCTATCCATGGCCTGAAAAGTTTGGAAAAGGGGTAGTGTTCTGCAGAGGAAAAAAAATCTGCACACTTACACCCCTCCCTAACTTTATTTTTCTCTTTGTTTTGTGTTTGTATCTCAAGTTCTATATCACCTGTGGCTACATTTTTATATGGGCTGAACCATATCCCCTGTTCTCCCCATTCCAGCCTCCAGACAACCTCACACCCCAAACCATAGAAACACAAGTTTCCTCAGAGGCATTTCCAACCAATTTCATTGAAGTTCTCCAAATAGTGCATTTTCTCTCCCCATTTCCACATTCAGTTTCTCCTTTTCCAGCACCCAAATAAACTCAAAGTTAAAATTTTAAACCAATTAAAGTGTGTAAAATGAAAGCTACAACCAAGCTTACAAAGATTTTAAGCAAAAATTATAGAAACTTCAAGAAAATTCTCTTTTCCTTACATTTTCTTTCCTTTCTTCTCTTTCTTCTCTTTTCTCTTTTCTTCCTTTTCTTGGATGTGGCTGGTTATGAAAATGTTCTAGAGAGTTGTATATGTGTACATATCACTTTTATTAGTCAATTAGAGACACTCCATCACTCTTATTGGCCTACAAAAAGTGCACATACACCTAACTTATGTTGATTGGTGGCCTTTTTGACTTACACCATCTTTCCTCCTTTTTCTCTCTCCTTTTTTTTTTTTTTTAATTTCTCCATTTGGTGGCTGTCTTTGACCTGCCTAGAAGCTGCCATATATATACATATAATTGGCCTTATATGGGGTGCACAAAGCTCCCTTAAGAAATTGCAAAATGGTCCACTTATTTTCATCTCTCTATTTTTTTTTCAACCCTTCATGTTCTATTTTCTTTTTAACATTCAACATTTATTTTATTTTCCTAAAATACCTGTTTAATCCCTCTCTTAGTCCCTCTATTTTTTTAATTTTATTTAATTAAGTTTTAAAACTATTTTGATTACTATTATTTCCAACGCCTAGATAATTCTTCTAATTCTTCATTTTCTTTTGAGGTTTTCATTCCACTGTCATCTCAACTTCACAGTTTAATGTCACTAGAGGCTTCTTAAATTACTTCTAGGATTGTCGATAAGAAAATAAAATTCACTTCTTAAGTTTAATTTATGTCTAACATGCAAAGAATAAACATAATGTATGCAAAATTCTATATGAATGCATGTATAGATGTT